CGAGTCTGTTAGTGGTCTTCAACTCAAAGACGTTCCTCTGACCACCGGCTCTGGTACCATACTTTGTGACGTCTCAACTCCCTTTCATCGCCCTTTTGTGCCCGCCTCGATGCGTCGAGCTGTATTTCAAACTCTGCATGAATTCTCCCACCCTGGGATCCGAGCCTCTCAAAAGCTCCTCGCGGAAAGGTTTGTCTGGCCTGGCATGAACAAGGACGTCAAAGCTTGGGCCCGGTCGTGTCTGAGCTGCCATCGCAACAAGGTGCAGCGTCACAACAAGTCCCCACCAGGCACTTTCCCCAGTCCCGACGCACGGTTCAGCCATGTGCACCTGGATGTCGTAGGCCCCTTGCCTCCATCCAATGGTTTCACCTACCTCCTTACCTGTGTCGATCGATATACTCGCTGGGCTGAAGCTATTCATTTGCCGAATGTTCAGGCTGAAACCATCGTGAAGGCCTTCGTCAGTCGTTGGGTCGCCATGTTCGGTGCCCCATCCACGGTTACGACTGATCGTGGTGCCCAGTTTGAGTCGGCTCTTTTCCAAACGCTACTCAATTTCCTTGGCTGCACACGCATTCGGACGACAGCCTACCACCCCGCTGCCAACGGTATGGTGGAACGTTTCCATCGCCAGCTAAAGACCGCCCTGCGTGCCGTAGAAGACCCAGGAAACTGGTCGGACAACCTTCCTCTTGCACTCCTCGGCATCCGCGCAGCTCTGAAGTCGGATCTGGGCTGTAGCGTAGCCGAATTGGTTTTCGGCACTACCCTCCGACTTCCAGTCGAGATGATCACCCCAACCTCTCGTGGAGCCGACGAGACTCCTGACAATCTTGTGCATCGTTTGGGACAATTTATGCGCTCGCTTTCCCCGGTTCCACCTCGAGCTCCAATGACTGAGTCTTATGTCGAAAAAGACTTGGACAAATGTACTCATGTGTTCGTCCGGTGTGACCGTGTGCGCCAGCCGCTGGAATCACCATATGAAGGACCGTTCTGCGTGCTCGCGCGCAACACCAAGACCTTCCGAATTCTTCGCAATGACAAGGAGGACGTGGTCAGTGTCGATCGGGTCAAGGCTGCTGTTGCGGAGGAGCCGCCGGACCTGTCACAAGGACAAACATGTGCTGACCCCCTAACCCCTGTTCCTCTATCTTCCCTATCCCCTATTCGTTCACCCTGCCCACTGCCTTGCCCTTCCCCTCCCTTGCCCTCTACCCCTCCGTCCCGCATACTTCCTCTCCCTACATGTCAACAGCATCCAACTGCAACACCATCGTCCACCACAGCACGCAGTCAACCCTCTTCGACTGTACCTCCTGCATACATAACTCGCAGTGGCCGTCACGTTCATTTTCCCGATCGTTTAGTTACCCATTTTTTCTAGACTTGTGCATATCCTCCGGCGCCGTATCTCGTCGCCCTCCGGTCTAGAAGGGGGGTAATGTGGTGAGGTACCTTACTAATTTACCTTTGACAATTTAGTCCCATTTCCTTTGACGGCACGGCTTGTTTGAATATGACGAGAAACGACACACCTGTCCAACCCGCCTTGCTTGCGTGCTCTGCTGTGGTATTCTGTTGTCAGTTTTCTTAATGTTCTAAAATCTCTATATTATTCACTGCTCCGATTTACTTGCTGCATTTAAGGCTAGGGGCTCGTGAGATATAACTCGTTAGTTCGTGAGAGCATTACGAAATACGACAATACGGTAGAATTATGACATTGTGTTATATAAAGTAGGATACGCTTTGACGTCCTCCCGTGACCGGTCTTTTCACATATGATACTTATGATAGCAATATTCACATCCTTCACGCGCTCGCTTGTACATAAATTGAATTTTCAATCATCTGTGTAACAAATTGTCTGAAGTCCCCTACAATCGTTCTCTATTTATCAGCGGATTATCAATAGGCTGTAAGGCTGCGGGAGGTGAATTGTGGGATCAAACATATTAAACATGGGCGGGCAAAGACATTTGCAGTAAAGTAGGAGTTCTGTGATGCCCGTGCACGTTGTTTAAAATCCGTTTTGGAATTCAAGTCCTTCGAGCTTACGACATTTTAGCTTCTGTTAGGGTATATAAGATACGCTGTGTTGGACAAATCCACTAGTGGATTAGCCTGCTTAGCAGTGGAATAGGGAGTTACAACAAAGGGTGAGTCTTCGCAGGTTTCTTTTATGTCCGACTGTTAAACATTATTGCCACTTCATTTGCTTATTTAAAAAAATATAAATCAGACGCAACCTCCAAAACTTCTCAAGTTTATGGAAAACACAGATGTTCACGATGCATCTGCTTGAGAAGTAAGGTCAGCACCGCCAGTGGGAACTGAACATGCGACCTCTGGGTGGCAACCACACGGCCACGGTTCATGTACGCCACGCTTGGTTCCCTTATTCCAGATGCAAACGAATGAACGCTCCGTATACTTTTCCAAACAACTCTTTTTCTATGTCAGCGAAAGTTCGTTTATTGGCAAAATGAACACTGGTTGCCGTTTTGGCCGCCCTAGCGCACTGAGAGGAAGGCTTAAGTGTCGATAAATTGTTGATTCCAAGATTTTTTTGTTTGGTTACATTTGAAAGGCATCTTCCACCAAACAGGTAATGGTAATTCTCTCCGTCGTCTCTTCCAGTCGTATTGAGTCGCAGCGCGACGCACTTCTCAAGGTTAAACTGCAGCAGCTGTTTATCAGACCATTTGCATAGGCGATTCAGTCCTTCTTGAAGGGCCCGTTCATCATTTTCCCCGTTGATCGCTCGCCATAACTTGATGTCATCGACAAACATGACTCCATTGCACTCCAGTCCATTCATACAGTCGTTGACATAAATTAAAAACAGTACTGGTCCGAGTACAGAGCCCTGAGGATCTCCACTCACACCTGGCGCTGGCGTTGACTTCACACTACCAATACACAAAGCCTGTTGTCGATCAGTCAGAAAGTCCTTTACCCAGTTTAATAGGTTTCCCCTTATCCCTGACTCTCGAACCTTGTAAAGTAATCGGTGGTGTGGGACACTATCAAAGGCTTTCTTGAAATCGAAGTAAACTATATCGACCCTTGTTTCTTCGTCTAACGAGCGAGACCACTGTTCCGTTGAATAGAGCATATGAGTTAGGCAGGAGTGATTTCGTCGAAAACCATGTTGGGAACTAGCCATGAAATTATTTTCTTCAAGGAACTTCGTTATGGATTTTTTGACTATTCTCTCCATGACTTTGCAACAAATGCACGTTAGGCTCACCGGCCGATAATTGTTTGCACTTGTTCTAGATCCACCCTTGTGAATGGGGTATATTTTCGCCACTTTCCAATCAGAGGGGAGAATGCCTCGGTCAAAGGACGAAGTGAAGATGTGCAAAAGCGGTCTGGCGAGTTCGCAAGCCAACTCCTTCAGAACTTTTGCCGGAATTTGGTCAGGACCCGGAGACTTACTCTACTTAAGCGCTAGAAGTTCTTTCCTCAAATCTTCTTCCGTGAAAATGATGTTTTCTATTATTTCGTCGGTTGTCCCAGCAGGAAATCCAGCCTCGTCAAAGTTCGTTTCATCGGTGAAAACAGATACGAAAAACCGACTAAGATGTTCTGCCTTAGCGTCATTTTCGATGATATCCTCATTGTTTTCTCCTTTCAACATTTAGACCGTCTCCTTGTTGTTTAACCTACTGTTGGTGTAACTGAAAAGCACTTTTGGTTTATCGACGGCCCGTTCCATAACTCGCGTCTCATATTTTTTTCCGCGACCTGCGGATAGCCGACCCTACCTCGTTTCGCTTTCGCCGGAACTGCTCGTAATGAGATGGTTGTTTTGTTGTTGCATACCCTCTCCATAGTTTGTTCTTCCGGTTTACTTCTTTCTTTATATCCGGCGTTATCCTACACGATTTGAATAGATAAGTGAAAGTTATATTTTTGGATTCAATTTCTAAATCCCTTGCACAGTTTTCCAGTGTAAACCTGACGAAATTTTCTATTTTTTTTCTTAAGTCTTCTTCGCTTCCTGTCGTGTTTCTGCGATTTGTCATAAAGCAGAAATCTATTGTCGCAGTTTTTCACCCAACATAGCCTCAATCCTATCAAGTCTTACCTGCATAAACAAAAGGTTTTCCTCGTAAAAATATAGATTAACATTATATTTTAAACGATAAACCGTCTCCACTGACGGCTTTCATCGTCAGTTTATTGAGAATTATACTGTTATCTATTTTATCCTACATAGCCTCATTATCCAATTCAGATTTATTCACAGTTCTGTTTTACCACCTACGAAATTGTCATTTGCCCGTTTTTTTTTCTAGTTTGCATTCTGGTATTGAGTAAAACTTGCTTAGTATAAATTGTGCTGTCTGGTCCACCAATATTTGCAGCTTTCATAAATCGTTTCATCATACATAGCCTCATCCATATATCCTCGAAGTTTCGGCAGTTATCATCCATATAAATATTTGGACTTAAGTCTTGTATTGCGTTTTCGGCATGAAACCTCAAGCAACCCTTCGTCGAAATCTGAAGGAAACTAAACTTCATCTGAAACCCATTGTTCATATGAAAAAAATTGATCTAGGGGCGCTTGATGATTTTAACAACTTTATGTCTCGTTGCGGATCAATTTTTTCTGTCCTTGGTGCCCTTCTTGACGGAAATTTGCCAACGCTTACGTCTCAGCAGTGTGAGAAGCTCATGCCTGTCATTTACCTGGTTGCGACTGAGACTGAAGACAGGCACAAACGAAGTTTCAACTTTATATTAAAAAACGTTCCCAAGAGTAGACAGCCAATTGATGTTGCCTTTCAATTCCTTTTTTCATGCGGCTTCAACTTTAGGGTCGCGGAAGCCAAAAGGCTTTCATCTAGGAGCAAGAATCCACCCATTCTTGTCAAACTCTTTTCATCGATAGAAGTGGATTTTATTTTCTCCCATTTGGAGCGATCAACTCAATATCTCAGGGCAAATAAACTTTTTATTAGTCGAGACCAGACTCCACTGCAACGAAAAATTTCTCCCACATTACCAAACGTAAAGCCACCCCCGAATTCTACCCAAATGTCTTTTTCCTCTAAAGCAGTTTCTCCATCTGGTGTCGACCAAATCCCGCCACTATCTACAGCGGCCCCAGTTCCATCTAGCTCTTCGACTGATCACATTATCACAGAGACGGTTAAAACTAGCCTCTTTAAAACTCCCCCACGGAGCAAGGATTGTTCAAATGCGGCTCCCAAATTTATAAGGGAGCTTGATCTTAGCAATAAAGATGAGCTAGTCCTTGAAGCACAACCGGCTCCCAGCACTCAGAATAGTGATTTGGTTAATAAACTTACATCGAATCCACCCCGTTCCCACGCCTGGCCACTCAGGTCTGACCTTGCAGTTAGGTCTAATAAGCTAGATGAGAGTTCAGGGAGGTCTTTACCTGTTCCTATCCTGAATTCTCAACTTAACGCCACAGTTGTGAAGCCCTCTTACACATCAGACTGCAAAATGCAAGTATATTGCATTGCTGATAAATTTTCCAATCCCGTTGCTAGCCTGACACCCCAAATAATAAAGCCCTTCCCTGATGTTAACTGTTTCCCGAAACCATTACGTCCGCCACCTAACATAAACTACCCCTCGTATTATGCTAACAATTCCCAAAATCCTATTTTCTTGTCTCCTATTTTTCCAACCCAACAAAATAGTTTTCCTCTTCCTGGGTCCTCCTCAAATGTTTTCCCACCTAATGCTGCATCTCTAACTAGTAATTACCCCATAAATTTTAGACCGCAGCAACTTTGTCCTCCACCAATTGCTCCGTTTCCACAGCTTAATTTTCCACCTCCGGCTCTTCCTTTTTTATAAGTAGCAATGAGCGGAACCTACTTATTAGGAATACGCTCAGTATTGTCTCTCTCAACGCAAGATCTGTCGTACAAAAGATGGCACACCTAAGAAGTGTAGCTGTTGAGTTTGACACAGACGTATTGTGCATTACTGAATCTTGGGCCCACTCTCTAAATTCAGACTCGGTACTTAACATAGATAGCCTTAGTTTATACCGCCAGGACCGTGCCGACAGACGCGGCGGTGGATGCCTTCTTTACATAAGAACATCACTTGCACAATCGCCTTATGACTTGAACATTTCCTCCTTCTCTGGAAATTTATGTTTTGCTTCGGTAATCCTTCCTCAAAATAGGAAAGCCTTAGTCAGATGTGTATATAATCCTTCTTGTTCCTCCGGTAATGAAAGCCAACTATGTGAACTCTTTGAAAAAATTGCAGAAACTTCTTTCGATGTCAAGATAATCGTAAGCGATTTTAATTTGCCAGAAATTGACTGGCACACACATACTTCTCCTCCTAAATTCCAGAAGCTGCTTGACACAATTTACTTTT